CTAACAACCATATGATATTACATTATTTAGCATGCAAGGTTCACAACACTAACAACCATGTGACCTTTATAAAATGTGTAAAACCACAAAAATAACAATCATGTGGCCATATGATGATATGCATAATCAATGTCAATCCTATATCCTCCTAATACATTCAATATGAAATCGATGGCTATTTAGTAATATTTGTCATCATCATTGGATTACCCAAGCCTTCTACTTGTAAAGAGCTGCTTGACCAAAGGCTACTACATTCACTTATAAGTCACGGTTTCTCCCAATACTAACAATCATGGGTGTCGTACCTTTAATATAGTTTTCTCATGACATGATGAAAACTAGTTAGGTTCGAATCCCTTGATGAATAAGTGGGACAATAAAATAAAAAGGCAAGCTATCAAGCTCTAAATGGCGGTCCTATCATATGGATTTCCAATTTCTACTCCTCTCCCTATAGACAAAACCCCCATTTCATATGATCGTGCAATGAAATCATGGCTAACACATAATATATGCCATTATTCATCAAGTTCTTTACATGATACGCACATATCATATTCATAATTCTCATACTCTTCTATATCCCTTCACAATTTCATCACTTTTCAAATCTATGATTTCTTCAAATCATGCTTAAACAAAGCATAAAAAATCATTTCATACAATCAAATTTTTTTTCACAACAAAACCATTAAATATTAACTCTATGCCATAATTTGCATTCTTTCATATATTTAAAAACATACTCATATCTTTAATTTAATTATAAATGGCTATAACTAATTAACAAATAAATGCACAAATTAAATTTCTCCTAGTTATATCAAACTTTTGAGAGGTCAAAAGTTTAACCTTCAATAAAAATACTTCACAAGTTATACCAAAACTTGAATAGTGTATACGATGATTAATCTACAATTGATGATACTAATCATCATTAATATCATCATAAACGCTTTTCCCACTTTTATAAATCAATACTTTAATCACTCAAAATTTTAATTTCTTATACTTAAACATAATCATTAAGTTTACTAACTCCATTTAGCTTTCATAAATTTAAATAATCACTAATATAACACCTAACAATCCAAAATCATACTTTAGAGGTTTAGGGTTTGTCCAAAATGGATGACCCAAAATTACAATCTTGTAAAAAAAAATTTAAAATATGTGTAAAATATTTAAAAAACTCCCATTAGTCTTATTTAAATTAATGGGTTTGGACCCATAGTCTTAAATCTAAAAATCTTTATCTCCCAACCTGAAATCTTACTTTCAAAATGCGTAGAGAGAAGAAGAAAGAATAAGGAAGGTATAATTGATTAGTCACCTCTAAAATGCCTAAAAGTTGATATCCTAGCAAATAAAATACTTTCTTTGTCGCACCCTCTCTGTTTTTTGGTGTCTACCTCTAGTTTGAATTGTTTTTGTGTTTTTTAAAATAGTTTTGAAAATTATGTTGTAGCGTGACATATAGTGAGCTAAAAATCCAATTTTTTGCTACAATTTGAGCTCAAATGATCTAATTCATTTTCAAACTCATTCCAAAAGCTAAAGCCAAACCCAATAACTGGCTCTAATTATCCTCAAACTCAATTATATTTAAATTTACATAATTATTCTTCATTAGATTAATAAATCATGGGAAATTTTTTAGATGTTATGGTTCTTATTTTGTTAAAAGTGGCTTTCTTCAAATCTCAAGGTCAATGTCAAACAGAGCCAGTAAATCCTTTAGGAAGATCCTTTGAAAGATTCATTTGCCTAAAAAACAACTCTTGTTTATTTGGAAATTGATTCACTCAACCCTTCCTCTTGGAGATGTTCTCCAATATCATCACCCAAGGTGCAATATCAGTGTTTTTTTGGTTACTTATACTTTGAATCTGTATCTCATCTTTTTGGTGGTTGTAGTTATGTGAAATCCATTTGGTTTGGAGCTTTAACCATTCAATCTTCCTTCTTTGAAGAAGTTGGTTTGTTTAGGTGGATTACCTCTACTTTTTTGCAGCTGCATAATGATGGTTTAAACCTACATATAAAAGGTATAATTATTTTACTTAATCTGATTTGGAGGAAAAGGAATCTATCTTTTCATAAAGGAATTATATTGTGTCTTGCAGAGGTGATAAGAGAGTTTCAACAAACTTGTTTTTATCTGTTAAATGTTTGTCTATGGTCTTATTAGACTAACCACAATGTTCTCTTCCTCACTCGGCTTCCTCTTCTTACTTTTTAAATAGTGGTGTTGGAATATCAAGTCCTTTGGTTTGGAATGTTATAATGAGGAGATATAAGATTAATGGAATTACATTTTACTCAACTTTGTTCTATAGCAATTTTGAGTACACGGTATCAAATGGAGACATTTGTTCAGTATAGAACCCAATGCTTCAATTTGCTTTGTATTCGAGCTACTTGAACATGGATCAAGCTTATCTCCATAACATCCTCTCTCAACAAGCTTGTGATCGATCCCACAAGTGCATGAGATTGACATAGTAATAAAACTTCAAAATATTTCAGGAACCATAACCAAGGGAAAGCAGTGATCTTTGCTATTTTGACAAGACAATTATTGATTATAAAAGAGAATTAATTAAAGCATATTAATTAAAATAGAGATAAATAAATACAATAATTAAAACAATGATCCAATTAATCAACTAACGCTAGGAACTCTCCTACTCTTGCCCAAATGAGATTTCAAAGCAATCTAATTGACAAATGCTACTAAATTATCTTAACTATCTCTTGATAAGTTATGGTGTGCCTGATTAAAGAATTAGCTCTCGCTAGACCCCGAAACCTCTAATAAAACCCATTAAGCTACGATCAAAGCTGCTATTAGATTATCTAAATTCAATTATTTATGTTTATTCTCTCAAGTCTAAATCCACTCTTCTCTTCTTGGTACATCAAACGAATCTATAAATAGAAAGTAAGGTGACCAGCTAAACATTTCATAATAAAAGCAATGAGAATGGGTTCGAAAGCATAAAAACGAGTCTTTCACAAACAGCAGGAATCAAAAGCAAAGTGAGTAAATGGTAGGTTGATCCCGGTCAGGCAAACCTTACCCTGACACAGGATTTAGAAACACATAATCATAATAAAATCAACAAATCCCAGCAACAAAGGCGAAATCAGATGAAAAGTAGAGAAAAGGAAGTATAAAAGCAACTCCTAAATCAGAATAATGGTGCTCTCACTCCATCTCCAGCTGTCTATTGCTCAAATGAGCGATTAGATCTCTCTTTAAGAACCCTAGCTCTCCTTTTTTTAAGTGTTTCCCTCAGCTCCTCTGAGAATCTCACTCTAGATCACGCATCCTCTTCTTTAACTTGCCCTAATTTTGCTTCAGTGTTTTAATATAGTTCTACCACGTGTTTCTGTCATCAACTGGGAATGGTCGTGGCCTTCACAATCTTGTACCGTGGACGATTGTGAAATGAACACTCCCTCTCGCCCACAACCTTCATCCGCGGATGAGCGAAGACTTCCTTCATCTCTCGATCGCAGACAGTCATGGCTCACGTTATCCATAGCCGCAAACGATTTTACACAGAGAATTCAAACTTGCTCTGGACCCTTTAGCCACAGATGGGGGTGGTTTCTTCACATTCACACCTACGAACAGTTTGTGATTTCTGTAAGCTTATCTGCGGAAAGTAGAGGATGTTCGAGCCTGCTATATATTCTTGGCCTACTTTACTCTAGTTGTGCTCGATTTTCTCTCATTTTAACTTTTTTTCCCTCGATCACCATAAATGAGCCACAAGTGAGACTATAAGACATATTCTTCCCAATTTTAATGCTATAATGTTTCATTTTATTCAACAATAATTGCCAAAATACAGTAAAATGGTGGCTCATCAAGTTGCATCTTCCTCCAACGTTTTCGCAAGAAACTCTTCCATGGACTATCATCAGAACATTACATGTTCCAATCTTTAGTACAAGACGTCCACCACCTTGTCTATTCAGCACGGTTTGAGTTTAATATTTTTCATGGTCCTTCTCTTTCCATGTTTCATTGTTCTTTAGACCGTTTTATTACTTATAATATTATTATTGATCTTTTTATAAAAAAAATTAAGTTATGAGTTAGATATATATTTTATTCATTATATAAAATTTAAATAAACAATAATTTTATATTGATATTAATTGATTGACCAACGAGATTCATAATCACGTTTGAAGAATGTCAAAGAGTTCTTTTAGATTTCAGTTGGGTATAATAGATTATGAAAATAATTGATTAAGTGATAGATTTTAATTATAATTGATTATATTATGACGCAATCTGTTTGGATATTATTTTTTTAAAATTAATTTTAACAGAATTGAAAATATTTGAATAATTTAATCAGAATCAATTTTAATTATATAAATTATTATATAATTTAATTCTTAAATATAAAAAATTAATTTTTTAAGGATATAAAATTTGAATTTTATTAAGGAAAAAAAACAGAGAGAAGAGAAAAAAATTTAATTTTATTTTTATTAAATTTTGTGCTTTATTTATAATTTTTTTCAACATTTTTTGATTAACTTTTGATAAAAACTGATTCTATCAGCTTATAGGAAAACGCACGTGACATGTGAGAATTAATTTTTGTCTTATTTTTGACTGTTTGAACAATTTGTTGAAAAAATTAATCTTGGAGGGGGAAAATTGATTTTTTCCCTTATCCAAACACAATGAAAAGAATCATTTGGAATAATATTACAATAGCTCGCCTAAAATGCAACGAACATCGAAGTATGGATTTCATGTTCCAAACGGAGGAATCGGTAGAGGATCAACCAAGCAATATCAAAAATTTTCTTTTGAAGACAGCTTTTAGCATATTTTCAGGCTAGCCTAAGGGATGAAAGACAGTACAAAAGTAGAAATTGTTGGGTGAATTCAATTTACGCAAAAAAGAAGAAGAAGAAATAAATAAATAAATAAAAACAATGATTGTTCGGAATATATGCGCAAATTTTACATGAAGATATATCATATTCATTTATAATTGATTTGGCATAGTGCTACAGAAAAGGTGAAAACAACAAACTTCTGGCAACAAAACTTATCACTTAGCTAATTATAATAACTGCTTTAAGCCCCTCCAATGATTCTCCAAAGAGAAGGGGAGGGGAGAGGGGTTTTCATAGCAAAGATATTAGCGTCTGACACACACAGCATTAAATGAAATCTGAATCTCTCCGAAAATGTTGTAGGTCTGGATGAGTGTCCTGCCCAGGCCTCCGAGGATTCCTGCATTGGGGAAAAAAAGAAAAAGCATATTAGTATGATGACTTATCAGCATTATACTAATAACCAGATTAAAATGTACCAACACAACTTGTGTATAATCAGCAGCAATACATAACTAGATCATCCCAAAAGAAAGTGATATCTTAGAGGTACTAACTAGTTCAAACATAAAATAGCCTTTAATCTTCTATACAATGGTTGAAATCAATACTTTCAAGATCAAATTCGAGCTATTTCCTTTTCTTTCACCTTCCCTTCGTTTTTCTTTTTTGAAATCCAATATCCTCTACCCCTTGTTGAACCTTCAACATCCTAGATTAATGAAACACCTTCAGAAAACAGAAATAAAGAAAAACTAATGTATTCCTCAAGAGCCCTTTGTAAAGGGTCAAACAACAGACGACTTCATTGCTGTTATATAATATATAATTATAATTTATCCATTAACATATAATTATAATTTATCCATTCTGCCATACCTAGCAAACCTGTTGGGTTCAAAACCAGGAACACCAGGGGGGCCATATGGATCAAATCGAGCACCCGGAGGAACACCCCTGTTTAGATAGATACAATCATCACAAACTACGAAATATGCCCCAAGCTAGAGGTAAAGCAATATTGGAAAAGGGAAAAAAGACATGACTTACGGTTGTCCTCCTGGGAAACCAGGCTCTCCACCAATACCTCCAAACCAACGTGGGTCATCAGGCCCTGCTTCCGCATTTATACAAAACAAACAATTATGATTATCTAAATAACAATCAGAACCTAATTACATGCAACTATATTGATACAACATAGCTTATAGCCCCATACATACCTACAAGCATACTCCCACCACCGCCAGGACCACCCCTATTATACCAGTTGAGAATTTTCAGGGGAAAAAGAATTGTCAGAATAGACCAATGGTTTTGGATGAGGCTGAAAATAATATAGAGAGAGATATACCTCATGGGATAAACTCCAGCACCAGGCCCAGGGTACAAATCACTTCCCCAATCAGGATTTATCGGAGGATATATAACTCTAGAAAAGAAACGGCATAACAAAAATGAAAACTAATAGTCAATGGAAAATTACGAGTCACTTATTAAAGAGTTCTTATTAAAATTTGAGAGTTGAACATGATTATTATGTCCAAGGAAAAATTTAGAAGAGGAAGAGTTGATAATCAAGAAAGCATGGCACACAGGCAACCAACTGCCGCAAAGCATACATGCATAAAAGGAGCATTGACTAAGATAGACTTGAAGAAGATGCCCAAGCTCACGTGTTCTCAAAGGTCAGAGCTTAACTAATGTAACATTTAATATGCAAGTGTGATTCGGTTCCCAAGTCTATTCCTGTGACCGACTGCCTCAATACTAAACGTGCCTTTACTCTTAGGTCGGTAGGAAAACAAGTCATGGAGATGCCAATAACCATTCTACACACTGAGCAAGAGGAACTGGCTATAAGACAATATCGATTCCAGGAATCAGGCAATTATCCAATCTTAGTCACAATTATGATGTCATTTCATGATATTATTCCATGTAAAAATCACAAGGACAAATGGAATATACGTGACAAGACAAGAATTGGAATATGACTATATGAGTAGCCACTCCACTCATTCTGATTCCTAAATGTCTCATTGTGAACCAAACATGCTCAGTATCTCTTTATACAAGGTGGGCTCAATTAGTTTGTATTAGCCATTGACAGTACCGCTTTTGGGCTACTAAAATTTAATAAGTCCATATTTTTTATCCCAAAAAAAATCCGTCTTTCATATTGAGTGGGAGATAACATACATCTTAGCCAGATCATTTTAAGAATACTACTATCTTAGAAGGAAAGCAGAAGGCAAGGTCTGATTCGGGGGTATTATTTGAATACAAGGCTTTCACAGTTTCTCCTCCCTCCAGGATATGCAATGCACAAAGGGCATAGAGAGAGGTTCTGTGTAATACAGTGTCGCAATTCAATCCACTGGCAGCATCTAAACTCTAAACAGATGTTAAACTGATTAAAATTGAAATCAGTATAGCAACGCAGCCACTTACCCTGAAGGATGAATTGGAGGACCAGCTGGATCGTGAAATCTAGCATCAGGCTGATGTACTTCTGACCTTGATCTATCACCTGCTTCTGAGCTGTGAAAAGAGAAATGCAACAATTTTACAACGAGGATACCAGATCTCATTCACGGGGCAATGAACTTCAAATATTAGCAAAGGTTCAAATCAAAGACCCAAAAATTCAAAACAAGTATAGCAGCCAATTTTCTCTTTATTATTCAAGCATGTACAAATGGCCGCACATACAGGCATATATACGGGTGGGACTTCAGTGTTCTTTTTCCTTGGGGGTCTAGGTGGCTGGAGAATGTACCAGTAAAACAGTTGCAAATGTAAGGGTGCTTATGCGATTCCAACTTTCTTGATGATTATTTAACTTGGAGACAACAACTCAGCCTTTGCCTTTAATTTTTACTATTATTAGGAAAAAACTGTATAATTATCTATGTGCTGAGTGTTAACCTAAGCCTTGAGCTTGGATGCTTAATCTTAACTCAGACATTCATACAGCTAAGCTGCTCTGACATTGGTATGTTGTAAATTATATTTGCCTAAACAGTTCATTTATCAAGTCCTTTATGAAATAAGGGTCAAGTTTCACATGCACCGGACCATATGAGTAGAAAGAGTAGAAAACACAATAAACTTCAAAATAACAATAAAACCCTTAAAATACTCCCTCAAGTTGGCACTTACTCATCTCTCTAGAGCACAACTAGCACTAGCAAAAGTCATTCACCCATATAAATTAATAGAGCACAATAAAACCAAATATCCTTCAATAGCAACCCAATTTTGACAAGTCCAAGCTTTTACTATCTCAGATGCAAAATGCAAATACTAACTAATCTAGGCTGGTGAGACTTCAATTCGTCAAATTTCAGCACAGGTTAAAACATTCATATTGCAAAAAGAGATTTACTACCTCCCGGGATTACTTGATGAGCTTGGTTTAGAGGAGCCCTCCAGTTTAGAGAAAACTTCCTTATCCAGGCTCTTCACTAACTTATCCAAATTTTTGAACTGGTCCGAATAATTGCTGCTTCCGTTGTCTCCAGTATAGTCCCCAACACTGAAATAAGAAAACACAGTCCCCAGAACCGTTAAATTTCTCAACAGCAGTTCGAAGTTGGCCTTTGAAACCACAAAAACAGATCCCTTACTCAATCTCAAGATGCACAGGCTCAGAAGATCCATCAGACAAAGCATCAACGAGTACTTTATCATTCATCACAAGGCACTTGACCAAAACTTTCTTCGAACCCTTATCAGGGTTCGCGTAGACAAATGCGTACTCATCGTCCAGTTCATTCCAGTGATCAACAGACACCTCATCTACACAAAGTTACAAGATTCAGAAAAGGTGAAAGGAAAATTGAATTTTGAGGGGCAAAAAGAGAGAGAGAAAACACTCGAGAGAAGTGAATACCAGTAGAGGGGTTGGAAAGGGCGGAGTCAGAAACCGCCTGAGGACCTGTGGCAGTGAGGACATAACCAGAGGCGAGGAAGGAAGCGTGAACGGAAAACGCGATTTTGTCGTAATTATTCCGAAATGTTGGCCTCGCGGCCCTAATCACCGCCATCACCGACTTGTCGCTAGCCATCGTCGTTTATTACGAGTAGAAGAGAGGAGGACGAAGAACTAAGAATTCAAGGGTCGCGGTTGCAGAGTCTTCCGAGTTCAGCCTAGCTGAAAGAAATAGCAGCCTCTCCGGCGTATCTTGGGTAGTAAGAAAGTAATCAAATTTTCTCCGTTCTTTGCGGAACACTAAACATATAGAAACAGCACGATCGCCCGATTTAGAGAAAGCTACTGCGCTTTACGCTGAAGAGAAACCCTGATAGCAATTCTTTCAGTTTTTTATTTTTTTTTTCATTTTATTTTATCGTCTTTTTTTTCATCCCTCTCTAATCTAGAGGCATTACTGTTATTATTGTTGTTGTTATTATTATTATTATTTATAGAAACTTTGTACCCCTCCGTACTGTAATTGATTGATGATGAAGAAAATAATTGAATAAATATATTATTCATAAATAATTTAAGCTCAAGTTAAAATTGTACCAGATCCCAAGCGTTCAACACCAAAACCTACTGAGAGAAAATATTACCTTAAAAGAGAGAAAGAAGGGTAAATATAAGAGTGGCTATTCAACCATACTATTTTATAATTCTTTTAAAAAAATTGATTGAAACTTTAATCTTTTAAAGAGATTTATATTTTTTTAATTATGCTTTATATTTTCTCTAAATATCATTATAAATGTTTTAATTATCAATTGAAATTTTAATAGATCATTTTTTCAAGAACATATTGGACTAGTAAATAAAATAGGTATATAGTTAAAAAAATTATAACAATACAATGACTCATTTCTCCACGAACGTATTGGCCCTTCTTGTTCTTGGACAAGAAAAAGTGAGATATTAAGAAAATCTCATAAATAATTAGATTATTAATTTTACCAAACATTTGTAAAGTAAAATTGGTCAAAGCTGCTCACTTTCACCCGCGAATCATCAAATATGTGTTCACCAACGATCTCTACAATCAACGAATGTTGAGTATAAGTATAAAGGAGAAGCAATGATAAAACAAGAAAAGACTTAAGGTGAAGAAGGAGAATCTCCATTCTTATGGTGTCTTGCAGTGGCTCTGATATAGCAGAACACAGCGACCAGGAAGGTGGTGGCAAGCCCTCCAAGAATGACTCCTCCTCCAGTTATTGACTTATCAATCGAGTGCTGAGAATGCTTCTTCTGTTGAACAGAGTTATAATTATCAGTCCTCTCCTCATGAATCTCTGATCGCCATTTCTTTTCACTCACAGGCGCCATTGATGGACGTAGTTTCCTTATCTGTACTGCTTCTACTTCTGTGGGCGAGGAGTTGAGAATGATGATGTCGATGATGAGCACCGTTCAACAACCATGGCTTCATGTTTATCACTAGCCATAGCTAGATCCACAACAATAATTCCCACCACAAAAATCACAAGAAGCTTCACCATTATATTTTTCGCAGATTCTATTTAGATTGGTTTTGGGTTGGCTATCTGTGTACATACATAAACACACACACGCACATACTTATAAAAGCACCAGCACTATGCATGGAGATCCTAAAAACGTGAAGCTTGAAGGAAATTTCCGACCGTTTTGGATTTATTTCTTAAAAGGGTGAATTTATAAGTCGCTTGTAGGTAGTTGCAATTTGTTAATGTAGAATTGTCGGGTGAGAAATAGGAGGAATTAAGGAAGGTGCACGTGGAAGTGCTAAAATATCAGAAATACAACTGATAAGAAACAACCAAGGGGAGCAAGTGTATCACATGGTTGTTTACATGCATGCAGCTTTTAGAGTTGGCGAATGCAAGCTGGTTCCATTATTATATAAGTATATTAATCAACTTAGGCACTGATGAAAGAGATTAGTAGTTGCTTAATTTACATTTTACAACAAAAGAGTCTAATTTCAGCGACTCAGATTACGCTTTTTGTTCTCTCAATGTGAAAAAACAATGATGAATGCTATCAGTGAGAGAGACATGAGATTTTATTGTTTACTCCATCTCGATGGAAGAAAGAATTGATTGAAAGATTTATGAGAGAGCCCAGCTATGATAGCTTAATTCTGGACATCGTTCCAGAATGTTATGGATTAAATCATGTAAAGTGTGATTCTTATTGACCGTTTTATTGTCTTTACAGGGATTCATCAATACATAGAAACCTAGGCAAGGAAACAGAACGGTATCTTTGTTTCGATCCTTGTCACTAGAATGTTATATGTTCTTGGAGGTAACTTGACTTTGATTTGGTGATCTACTTGGAAACACAATAAAACACAGAAACAAACAACGCGCATAATTATCCACATTCATGCTTCTACTGAGAAATCCAGGAAATCTGGTGTGATTAAAGTCGTTAAATAATCTTGTCTTTTAAATAAATCGAGCCTAGCTAACAGGCCATTGAACTTGATCCCTGCAACAACAACAACAGAAGCAACAACAAAAATTAAAAACAAAGAAACAATGATATGAGTATTGAATTTAGGTAAGTAGAAGAATAAGAAAACCTGGAGAACAAAATCAAAAGGAAATGCAGATGTAATCAGATTGTTAGAGACAACGTATAGGATTTCAGAGTATTGCCTGTGGTTGGGAGGGCCATAGCCATATTCTAAAAACATATGGGAAGCATCCAGGAAAGAGGAAACCTTGTTCATAAAAAACAGTGTTCCTTTTATGATTCATAAGGGAATCTAGGATCATACATGTCTCTCCAGAAGGCACATGACCCTACAATATGCAAGTACTAGAATATAAGCTCGTGTCCTTGGAAACAAAGACAAGATGCAAGTCCAATACTCATGAAGAGGAAAACAGCAGACAGATGAGGAAGAAAATAATATACAAATATACATATATAGCTGCGTGTAAAGTTGTTTACTTGTTTTGTGCCGTGTTGTGGACAAATACCTCGTTACCAGGAGCCCGCCACAGGGTTCGATTTGATTGGCAATATATGTATTTGTGTCAGATGGTTTCTCTGGAAGATGGGGTTGTGATTGGATTTGGTTATTAATGATTATCTGTCACAAGAGAGACCTTGTTAGTTTACCTTATTAGTATTTGATTCCAGAGCCAGCTCACATATGGTGTGTGGGTTTTAAACAAACTAATTCTTTGTCAATGTCATTTCGATCTTATTAAGATGTGAAACTTCTAGCTCTTGCTTCAAATTGAAAATAAAATCAAATTTAAATAATCTAAATCAAATGTTTTTCCTTAAAAACTTTAAAGAAACTACTGTGGTTAAAACCAATAATTTGGACTAGCTCAAATAAAATACAAAAAATTATGTCACATCCAATTGAGTTTGGGCCAAAATACCGGAACAAAAATAATATATTGTGTAAAAATATATAATATATTAAATATTAATTAATTCTTTAAGTTTTAGTTCATTTTGAGTTAAAAAATTACTTCCTCTGTTATAAATGTAAGGCATCTTTTAAAGAGTTAGATGTTTAAAAATGTATAACATTTTTAATCTTTTAAGCTGTAATTATTATTTTTTTTCAAAAGAGCCCCTATTGATAATGACTTTATATTTATTGTAGGGTATTTAATAAGAATAAATATAAAAAAATAAGATTAGTTAGAAAGTAGTTAACTACTTTATTAAGGGATGAAATTCGATAAAAAATGTCTTATATTTTTAAACTGAAGGAGTATATACTTAAATATATTACTATAGATCTTTTTAAAAAATAAAAATATTTACATTATTTTATTTGGTGTGGATGAAAAAACTTTCAAAAGCAAGTGATTGAGTAAGAGTTTTTTTTTATCTTATTAAGTTTAATATAATTTATTTTAAATTACAAAAGAACTAATGTTTCCTTCAGATAAATGTGCCCGAATTTCACCAAAAATATATAAATGTACCAGAAGGTCCATCCTTTTTTTTAAGCAATTTTTTTTTTTGTACAAGGAGAGTTTGTTTATTTTTTGATACAGACACAAGGATTGTATTTAATTTACTACTAAAAAAAACTTTAATAGCCAATTGCTGGACAATCAATTGGGCCTCAGCTGAAAAAGGCTCTGAGAATGTATGGACTCACGTATGTGGATTAAAATGTATTCATAGCGATTTTATGGGTATTTGTTTGCAGGTGGGTTTAAAGAAGGCCCACTCATCATGAATATAGATCCTCCAAAGGAGGCAAATTGACCTTCATGTTGAAAAAAAATAAAAAAAATTATTTACCACAATACTACACTTTCAATAATATTTACCTAGATATTATAAATTAAAAATTCAGTCTGATTAACACCAAGTTTCAAAAAAATTTGGTCAGAAGTGTACATAGAAGCTTTCTATTTAATTTAAAAAAATAAATATTTATCCCATTGCACTATTAAAAAAATTGAATTTAGCGAGGGACGAATCCCTCGCTAAATGCCATTTTTCGTAACTAAATTGTATTTTAATTATGAATTTTGTTTCTCACTAAATTTGTAGTTGAAAAAGGGCTCACTAAATTTAGTAAGGAATTGTATTTTCCTCACTAATTAGTGAGGAATTTAGCAAGAGATTGAATCTCTCGCTAAAATTAGTTAGGAACTGAATCCCTCACTAATCTCTCGTTAAATATGCTTATATTTAAAAATAATTATACCACATCACCCGCCATGTGTGATGTCAACTTGTGACACGTCATCAATAACCTCATGTTTTGTCAACTACCATGTCACCAATCATCTCGTGCCCTATCACCCACTACATGTACGATAACTCATGACACGTCATTGTCCACCTTACACCATGTCACTTGCTCCTTACCATATCATATATTCATCATGTTTATGTCAAAGCCAAGGTTTAAACCCTTGACCTCATACCTTTCAAGCTTTATGCCCTTCTTCTTTGCCAGTTGAACTAAAAGGCACCCACAAGCATTATATGATAAATTAAATATATATATATATTATTTAACTACATAAATATATCAAATAATATATTATAAAAATACACATATATACAAATTAAATTTTATTTTCAATTATTAATATGTTAAAAATATTTATATTTTATTTAAATTATTCTTTATATTATTTTTTAATAAAATATTATTTTATTAATGAAAATCAACTTAAAATAAATAAAATATTAAATAATTTTATTATGAATATTTTAGTTAATTTTTAAATTTAATTATTATTTTTAAATGAAAATAATTAAATATATAATTAAAAGTCATTGTCAAAAGATAATTTTTTTGTAGTAATTAGCTAGGGATAGAATCCCTCGCTAAGTCCCTCGCTAATTATCTTATTTTAGAAAGGGATTGACAATCCCTC